CATTTACTGCATTACTTTTAAAAATATTTAGTTCACTATAATACATTAAGGTGCAATAATTCTTGTTGGTACATAAAGCCAAGATGGTTGACAATTATTAAACAAAGTGGAAGGAATCAATATCCTCATTAACAAGTATAAGATACATAACTGATTTGTAGGTGGCTCAATGTAATTGACACCTAAAATCAAGACTTTGGAGGTAAATTAATTTCAAAAATTCTCAAATCTATCCCCAGTAGAACTTGGTAGAAAAAGCAATTTAAATTGCTTAAATTAATTAATAATACTTACAAATGGTCATTATATTAGTTGTGACTTTTGGAGCATTCAAACCAAGAACAGAATTTACAATATAATTACTTTATTTGAATAAGTAAAGGATATTTTGACAGACTGTTGCAGTAGTTCCAATCGGTTAACTGTTACAAAATGTTTAGCTTCTAAGAAGCCACTTTATAGAAAACTGTTGGTAATCAGATGGATAGATATTGATTATTCAAATTTACTCAAAACTCTTTAACTATTGTAGCATAGTATCAAGTGTCAACGCATATGACACAATAATTTACTCGTAAGTTAAAATGGAAGTATACATCTATTACATGTACTCCAACTTATGTCGAATTCATGGCCACAAATAGAGTAATAATCATGTCCAGAAGGTGTTCAATTGGCACTAATATAAAAAGATGATTTATTTAGTGTTGATTTTCATGTAGAATATAGGGGGACTCACAATATGCATGAGTAGCTTACATCAACTGCTACACTAATACATAACGATGACAAGCACTCTTAGTACAAAATTTTGAGACTGTTCAATTAATACAAAGGGTGAGAATAACAACTGATTATATTGAGCACTCACTGAGTACTTTTAGGTAATGTAGACGAAAAGAGCTTACCGTATAAGATATGAAATCGATTTAGTCTAATCAGCCTTAATCTTATAGATGCAGCAGTAAATTAAGCACATATGAAAAGTGCAATGGTTAAATTAATCGTTGAATTAGAGGCAATCAAAAATGTTGCTAAATAACATCAAAAAATAAAATAAACATATCTTTGAAGATTAGTAGTATATTTATCTCAAGCTGAATCATATACTATTGAAAAAAATGTCTCAAACAGCCATAAATGCACGCGTACAAGTGAATGCATTTAAAGAGCAGCTTTTAAAGAAGTAGAAAGGATATAAATTATTAGTTTGAGCATTAACTCAAAGTCAGGAGTGAATTTTACCTGAAGAAATATAAACATAGCTGAACACTTTATTTGATGTGGTGTGTAACGGACTTTTGATCATATTGAAAAATATAACCCTTTATTGTAATAAGGCTATTTAGCCACAAAATGTTACATCAATAAATGTAAAATATAAGAATCAATTTTTTATAAAGAAAATAACATGGATAAGAACTCACTTTTATTTTCGATTGCAGGTATATTTAAAATGTATATTAATGGAAAATATGAAATAAAACTAAAATAATCATCTACTAATAATTGCAACTATAATAAATCTATGTTGTTGTGATTGTCATTAAATAACTCCATCAACAATGTACTATTGGTAAGACCACAAGATTGAATAATAATACTATTCTATTATGGTTGTGCAATTGGATATTATAAACTCACTGGACTTGGCTATTAATGTGTCAGTTTAATTGTGACATATGAGTCAACATTTAATTTATATATACTTATGGGTTCCCTCTTTCATCTTATAATCACAATCATGCAAAATTAAAGGTTGTCTAAAGGAGTTCTCAATCTGGTAAAGTTTTTCTGAATTGGTTTAAATTTAGATTTTTGTAATGCGCAAACAATTACTAGTAAATTTGTATGCATCCATATAATATGGCTGGTCATAAAGAGATTGCATACCTTGATACCCCAGCACTCAAGTATGAATATTACCCTTACAATTGCCACAAAAACTGCAAACATTCTGAAAAATCAGCATCAAATGTTTAGCACCTTCAACAACTAGTGGTATTAGTTTCTTATAAGGACTTGAGTTGTAAGGTTAACCTTATCTCCATAGTACATTAGACCTTTCACTAACTGATATTTAAATTAAAGGCATCACTTATATAGAATGTAGATCTGATTTAATTTTAATTTGAGGCGCTTCTGATAATTATACTTCTACCATTTCTACTTTTCTTAATAGGGCTTGCATCCAACGAACAGTCATACTGCAAATTATTTGTTAAGGGGTTCGTTAATAATCAACACATGTATTCCGGATAAATATCAAAATTTTGTAGCAACTTTTGCTAGTTTGCTTTAAACTTTCAATTCTGCATATATTTTCTAGATAGATCTTATAAAGAATTTAAAACATTATATACCAAGTGAAATATATTACATACTTAAGATTCAATTAAGTAGTTGTAAAATCTTTCTCTAACAAAGCAGTGCTAATCTGTATTATAGAGGTTGCAAAGGTGAATTTTCAACCTCTGTTCTTCTTGGTTGATAGATGTTAGCCTTCGGCTTGTAATATTTATTATAAATGCCTATCTCATTGTAAGACTCTAATTAAATTACTAATTACACTAAATTTCAGACCTCTAGCTATCGTACAATGTTTGATACTCTTTCAATTGATGATTAATTATAGTAATGGCTTATTTTGGACTCTAAATATATTGCACATCTATGATATTACAAATGATGACCCAATTAACATGAATTTTGAATAATTTTGTAAATATCCAATTAGAAATTGTTAACATGTTCAATATGTTAGCACCTGGGTGTTTAACCAAAAGTTACACAATAATCTAAACAGTGTGCGAATAATTAGAGCATTCATTATTAAATAAAATTCCTGAGTATCAAATTTGCAAAAAAATAATTTTGTAGTATAAGCATTGCATTTTGAATATTTTGTACTACAAAAATATTTAAGCGGCAGGCAATCATACGTTCAACATCTACTGCATCTGGTCCAAGATGAATCATACAAGTGCTATTTGGCGATTTATATTGGCTACAACATGTTCATCAGTTGTTGCAACTTAATATACTTCAGTCTCCAATATTAGACAAAGGAATCCATATCTCACATACATTCATTAAGATCGGAGAGCTGTTGGAGTGAAAACATACATTCAATTGTTATTAAAAGCCATCAGTTATTTTGACTCACCTGAGCGTTTCCAATATCTCATTAAGAAATTATTATTAATCTGGAATATTGTTAATCTAAGTCAATACCTCAAAAAATCATCTTTTAACAGAAGTTTGCACGATTTATTGTTCTTTCTCTTTTACTTGTTACATTTCTGATGCTGAATCTCATTTACTTCATTAATGCCTTCCAATTTTAGGTTTACCTAAAAAGGCTTAGTTCTAATTGCTCATGAAGCTATTATTTGATAATTTGTGTTAGTTACAAATAAAGCAAGTCTTCGATAAGAACTACTCGTACCTACATTTCCTCCTAGTAATAAAGAAAAGCTAAATTTTTTTTCTTCTTTTACTACCCAAACTCCAATTTTCAAGTTAAAAACCAAATTCCAAATGCAGCTAGACTTCCTTTAAATCAATATCGGTAAGTGTTTATTTTATCATTTTTTTGTGGTATTATTTTTCAGGAGGGGAAAGAAGAAAGAGATTAGGAGCCTCTATACTTAAAAAGAGTGAGAAACAAGAGGATTAATGGATGATAGCTTAGTAATCTATGACAAAAAAAACTCTAAATAATATATGTAATTGGTAAATTGTAATTTGTAAAATAGTTACAATAATCAATTTTATTGTTGATGTAATCCAATTCTGATTTCAAAAATCCAACTTCCTTTTGAATTGACTAATAATTTTAGATCTAGACCTTAACAATTTGCAAATACTCCTTTGAAAATTAAAGCCTCTGAAGCCAACAAATCTTGATTTTGACATATTCTTAGAATTGTACTATCAAAATTAGCAAAAGAACCATTCAATAAAATGGATTTATTTGAAAGTGGGAATTTAAACTAAGAAAGAAGGTCTTTTTAACAATTATCTTGAGGTATAATCTCTTTTGCTTACTTATTATCCCATAAAAATATGAAGTTATCATTACTACCAGATGCTAAAGTATTACCGTTAGGAGAGAAAATTGACTGAATAAACATAATGTGAATGATCATTTAATTTGGCTTTTTATTTTCCTGTCTTAACATCCCATAAACGGACAGAGATTCCAATTCCGGCGTAGGGGCTTGGGAAAACCCTACTATATTCGGGTAAGTAGGTACCACCCCAGGATTTTGAGTCAAAAACTATCTAGATACCACCCCTGGATTTGTGAATTTTTAAATTCCAAAATATAAGGGAAAATGTTAAATTTTCATTTATTATAAGGAAAAATGAACAACTATCTGAAAAATTAACCTTTAAAATTAAGCTGTTTTCCTTGGCCTTTAGTTTTGTCTTAACTTAAGAAATTACATTTTTAGGTGTTTCTAACAAGTAATTGTACAAAACCAAGAAATATGGAAAAATATTTCAAGATTGAATTAATTAACCATGCTATAATGAAAAGTATATAAATTATGATAACTTATAGATTGAATCATTCTAAATTGAAATAAATTGAATGTAAACTGGCTTCGATTACTTTATACTAATAATAATCTTTGGAAAAACAAATGAAATGAAGTATGAAAATTTAAAGATTCATTCGTTTATGTGAAATGGTTTAAGAATATAAAATTACACTTGTTAAAAATGATGAACATTTTCATAAGTATCTTACCTAAAAGTATATTTATTTCTGTTTGCTTTTATTTTAAATCCAGGTGTATAAGTGTATCATAAATCTTTCTTGTTCAATAATATAAATTAGTTATAACTGTTTAGTATATAAATTTCACATTGCTTCAGATTATTGATAGTCACAGATCAGATGGAACTGTAGTAATAACTTTTCCCAAAGAAACCGATTAAATTTATTCAAAGATTCTTTTAAAATATGAATGATATTGTTTTAATAATAATCAATCTAATTGCAATTCTTTAAAGTTTTCTAAAATCAAACCTCCTTTAGATTTGAATAAGGGTGTTAAATTCTAACCTTAATAATTTTCAAATACTCCTTTTAAAATTAAGGCTTCTGAGGCTTCCAAAGTGGGATTTTAACATATTCTTAATATTGTACGATCAATTTTAGCTAAAGTATACTATTAATAAATACTATTTTTTAAAATTGAGTGATTTTAAAGTGGCAATTTGAACTAAGAAAGAAGATCTTTGTAACAATTATCTTAAGGTAAAATCTCTTGTGCTNTTTTATTGTTGATGTAATCCAATTCTGATTTCAAAAATCCAACTTCCTTTTGAATTGACTAATAATTTTAGATCTAGACCTTAACAATTTGCAAATACTCCTTTGAAAATTAAAGCCTCTGAAGCCAACAAATCTTGATTTTGACATATTCTTAGAATTGTACTATCAAAATTAGCAAAAGAACCATTCAATAAAATGGATTTATTTGAAAGTGGGAATTTAAACTAAGAAAGAAGGTCTTTTTAACAATTATCTTGAGGTATAATCTCTTTTGCTTACTTATTATCCCATAAAAATATGAAGTTATCATTACTACCAGATGCTAAAGTATTACCGTTAGGAGAGAAAATTGACTGAATAAACATAATGTGAATGATCATTTAATTTGGCTTTTTATTTTCCTGTCTTAACATCCCATAAACGGACAGAGATTCCAATTCCGGCGTAGGGGCTTGGGAAAACCCTACTATATTCGGGTAAGTAGGTACCACCCCAGGATTTTGAGTCAAAAACTATCTAGATACCACCCCTGGATTTGTGAATTTTTAAATTCCAAAATATAAGGGAAAATGTTAAATTTTCATTTATTATAAGGAAAAATGAACAACTATCTGAAAAATTAACCTTTAAAATTAAGCTGTTTTCCTTGGCCTTTAGTTTTGTCTTAACTTAAGAAATTACATTTTTAGGTGTTTCTAACAAGTAATTGTATTCCTAATACCTTTTTTTTTTAATTATACAAAACCAAGAAATATGGAAAAATATTTCAAGATTGAATTAATTAACCATGCTATAATGAAAAGTATATAAATTATGATAACTTATAGATTGAATCATTCTAAATTGAAATAAATTGAATGTAAACTGGCTTCGATTACTTTATACTAATAATAATCTTTGGAAAAACAAATGAAATGAAGTATGAAAATTTAAAGATTCATTCGTTTATGTGAAATGGTTTAAGAATATAAAATTACACTTGTTAAAAATGATGAACATTTTCATAAGTATCTTACCTAAAAGTATATTTATTTCTGTTTGCTTTTATTTTAAATCCAGGTGTATAAGTGTATCATAAATCTTTCTTGTTCAATAATATAAATTAGTTATAACTGTTTAGTATATAAATTTCACATTGCTTCAGATTATTGATAGTCACAGATCAGATGGAACTGTAGTAATAACTTTTCCCAAAGAAACCGATTAAATTTATTCAAAGATTCTTTTAAAATATGAATGATATTGTTTTAATAATAATCAATCTAATTGCAATTCTTTAAAGTTTTCTAAAATCAAACCTCCTTTAGATTTGAATAAGGGTGTTAAATTCTAACCTTAATAATTTTCAAATACTCCTTTTAAAATTAAGGCTTCTGAGGCTTCCAAAGTGGGATTTTAACATATTCTTAATATTGTACGATCAATTTTAGCTAAAGTATACTATTAATAAATACTATTTTTTAAAATTGAGTGATTTTAAAGTGGCAATTTGAACTAAGAAAGAAGATCTTTGTAACAATTATCTTAAGGTAAAATCTCTTGTGCTGTTTTAACATCCCACAAACGGATAGAGTTATCGCTACTGCCAGATGCTAATTGTAGTACCATCAAGAGAGTAATTAAACGAAAAAACAGTTCCAAAATGGCAATCAAATTTGGCTTTTTATTATCCTCTCTTAATATCCCATAAACGGATAGAGTAATCTGAACTACCAGATGCTAATGTAGTACCATCAGGAGAGTAACAAATTGAATAAACTGTTCCAGAATGACCATCTAATTTGGCTTTTTATTATCCTGTCTTAACATCCCATAAACGGATGGAGTAATCTGAACTACCTGATGCTAATGTAGTACCATCAGGAGAGAAATTAATTGATCTAACTAAATCTTAATGACCATCTAATTTGGTTTTTTATTATACTGTCTTAACATCCCATAAACGGATGGACATATCTTCACTACCAGATGCTAATGTAGTACCATCAGAAGAGAAATTGACTGACATAACATAATGGGAATGACCATCCAATCTAGCTTTTTATTATCCTGTCTGAACATCCCATAAACGGATAGAGTTATCATAACTACCAGATGCTAATGTAGTACCATCAGAAGAGAAATTGACTGACATAACATAATGGGAATGACCATCTAATCTAGCTATTTATTATCCTGTCTTAACATCCCATAATCGGATAGAATGATCATAACTACCAGATGCTAATGTAGTACCATCAGGAGAG